TTTTGTCTTTGTGGCTCTCATTTACAGTTTTTGCCTGTTTTTGCCTCAATAATATGTAAATTAATGCTTTATTTCTTTATATTTTATTATCTGTATTTTTAAAAAAAAAAGGGAAAATCTGTGATTTGCGTGAACATTTTTTTGACATTTTTTAATCCTGAATATAAATATTTTATCTTTTAACTTGTGGCCAAAATCTGTAGAAAATAAATGAATGAATAGTTAATGTTTGTAACCTCTGTTAACATTTTCTATAATATTTTTATTAGATTTTTATTAATATATAAATGCACTTTTTTGTTGAAGTCATGAAAATAAGAGTAAAAAATGAAACTAAATTTAAAGAATTATTATTATTATGATCGCTATCAAATCTCAATATGCAGAATTTTTAAAAAAAATAATGTTGAATGTCTGTAAAATAGAATATTTTTCACTCATTTAAATACATTAAAAATAAGGCTGTAAAAGAACAAATTACTGAACTGATTTTTTATATTAACATTTAATTTTTCTTTTAAAGTCTGAAAAATAAGAACAAATTGTAAAACACTAAATATAATAAAGGCGCCTCCATGTTCTCCGGTGAACTTTTTTTCCTCCCCGGCTCTCGGTGCCTCTCGGCCGACCTCCTCTCCTCCTTGTCTCCTCGTCTCCTCGTCTCCTCCATCTCGTCTCCTCCTCATCTCCTCCTCGTCTCCTCCTCGTCTTCCAGCTGTGATCTGACTTCATTCACGCTCGGCTGACGGCCGGCGGCGCTTCACTCGGCCTTCGTGTCGGCTGAGCCCCGAGTGGCCCATTACCGGCAGCACTCGTACAAACCGGCGACGAGTCGGAGCAGCAGCGCCGCTCCGTTTGAAGCCGACGCGCTGCTTCGTGGGAGAACCGAGGCTCAGAGTTTAACTAGAACGGGTCCGATTCATGTCAGAGCAGAAGTAAGAGCTTGTTCTGTTCAGCTCATCTCACTGCCGGCTGGTTGGTTCCGTCTTTAACGGGTCGGTCCGAACACATCTGATAATAATGTACTAGAAATGTTCACATGCTGAGGTTGAGGTTGGATGTGGTCCAGTTCCCAGACAGAACTCGACACCAACGGAACCAGAAGACGTTCCACTGTGCTGGGTGCATCTCCAACAACCTGCCGCTCTGATCCGGTTCTGAGCCGCCCGACGTTTATTCACTGATCAGGTGTTTTGCTCTGATTGGTGGAAACACTTCCTGCAGTTCATCTGAGTCGCTCACGGCGAAGCGCTGGACGATCGATTCAGACGTTAACGTGCTGATTCCTGCGACGTATCGTAAAGATTTGAAGCTCTGACTCGGTCCCACCAGAGTAGTTCAAGGACCGTCGGAGAGCTCACAATCCATTCCTCCTTTACAAACAAGCCGTCTTGAGGATGATCTTCTACTTTCCCCCCCGACGATGGAACCTGTCTGATGTTTGGCCAAATCATAATTGTGGTTTTTAAAGCCGCCGACCTCCAGAGCAGAACCGGAGCAGAACCGGAGCAGAACCGGAGCAGGACGGAGGAACACCTGCGACTCAGCACTTTGGCTGCTGCAGCGCTCCATCGCCAGCTCGTTGGCTTCCCGGCTAATCTACAGTCTGGCTGAGGCTGCTCCATGAATAATTGAGATGAATGACAGCGCCTCCTCATCAGGAATGCACAGAACACGCCGTAGCCGGGAGAGAGAAATAATAAAGAAGACGAGGAGGACCGAGGCTGCTGCTGCTCTTCTTCTTCTTCTATCGCTCACATGCAGTTTGATCGGCTGCATCGCGGCGCCGACGACGTCCTGGATTTTTAATCGAGGCTTCCAGCCGAGCGCCCGGACTCGACTCTCAGTGACACCAATTAGGCCTCCCGTTATAAATGCTGCATCTGGGGGAGGCTGTTTGGACCAATGGCCCGGCCCGCCGCTAATAACTCCAGATAAACAGCAGAGCATCACCTCGGCCCGATCGTCTGACTCATCGTCTTTTCAGGAGTGTTTTTCTCCCCAATTACGGCTCCACCGCAAACTCATGGCTGCCGTGTTGAGATCCTGAGAGAGGAGCAACAAGTCTGCAGTGAAGGAAACACCTGGTTTGGATCTGATTGGACGCTCGAGTGTCTACGAACGACTCGAGGAAACAGCTCAGAGACAAACATCCGGATCTTTAAAGAGAAATTAGACTGAGAGAGTCGTTATTTTAAATTTAACAACAAGCTCCAAACACGTTGACGAAGGCTAGCTTAGCTTCTCCGTGCTAAGCTAGCAGGTTCTTGGTGTTTTTTAGCTCCTGTCATATTTTTCCTCACTGTGAAGCATAAAGACGAGACTTTAGCGCCATAATCTTGCCAAAAATAAATACAAATAAATGCTAAAGTAGAAATTCTGTGATTCTTGTTTTGCAAAAATAAAAATAAATAAAACCTGGAACCTTTTCCCAAACGCTCACAGTCACTACCGACGCTGGAAAAATAAAAGTTTGTTTTTCAATATTTTACATTTTTATCTGCTCTGTGGGAACAATTAGCCGAAAAGCTCCCGGATTTTTTGTGACATGACCGTCGGCTGCAGGTGAGTCACCGACGGTTTCACACGAGAGCAAGAATTTTTGCTTTTTTTTTGGTTTCCACAAAAAAGTTTATTTTAGGCAAATTTTCCGACAGGACGTCTCTGATTTTTTTGTCTCGTGACTGTTGGTCGCACACGAGTCGATGGCGGCTTTACGGCTGCATCAAGAAACACAGATTTTTTTAATATTTTACCGCATCCTCATAAAGCAAACACTTAATATCAGCAAATATACAAGTGAGACGAGAAGAAAGTCACGATTTTCGGTTAAGTTTCCCGACAGAACTGAACAGATGAGCAGTTCAAGGACCGTCGGAAAGTTCAAAATGCTCTGATGAACGGTGTAGCAGCTTTAAGATTCAGAGGTTTAAACAACTGTAATGCTTTTTTATTTCTTATTTCTAAAAAAGTAGCGTCAACCTCAGTTTTGACAGGTCTGAAAATTACAACATTTATTCGAGCACGAAATTTAAAAAAAACCCAAAAACCAAGTCGTGCAACCTTGCGATGGTCCTTTAAGTGTTTATGTTTGAGGCGTCGCACCACCGTCACCAAATCTAACATCATAATCGTGACATTTAATCAGAATTGTTTGTTTTTCCGACGTCCCCGGCGCTCACCTCCAGCTCCTGCTCCCTCTGCAGGGCGAACTGCTTGAAGGACTTGACGATGATTCCCGCGTTGGAGCAGTCGTACACGAAGATGGACGGACTCCCCATCCACGTCTGCAGGTCGTAGATGGACAGCGGGATGTACTGGGTGTAGTTCTGGAGAGGAGGAAGAATAAAATATGAGCACGTGTCAGAGTGAGAAACGAGAGGTTATTGCTGATAACTCACTTTTATAGACGTGTGTTTAATTATTAAGCGCTCATCTGGAGCGAGGACGTATTAGAATAATGAGGGCAGGATAAATCCAAGAACCGCCGGTAACGGGGGGTTCTGGTTTCCCTTCGGATCCCCCCGCCGGTGACACAGCAGATTCGCTTTTATGGGCCGAGAAATAAAAAGGTGAAGAAAGGAGGAAGAGGCGAGGACACAAGGCCCGAGGGTGTGCTGAGGACGGCGAGGCGACGGCGAGGCGACAGCGGCGCTGCATCATTGTAAGTGGGTCCTTACTTACAGCAGGAGACGACTTTACGTCCCGGTCCAGCCGGCCTCAGCACGTGGACCAGCTGCGGTTTTTCTAATTCGTGTTTCCGACTGCAGGAGTCTCGGTTCTCGCTGCTCTAAAGATTCTCTGTGCTGCTGTCTGACGGTCGAGGCCTTTCACACACAAATACGTGGATTCTTCCTCCTGACGTAAACACGCCAGGAAAGACTAACCTCAACCTGAACACCAAACGGCTTCTTTTTCACTAACTGTGGGATCATTTTTCACTTTAATCTAAAGTCCAGCACCTCCATGGAAACAGAAAAAAACACCAACAAGTAGAAAAAACTCAGAAATGTCTTTCATTCGGCACGACACAGAATTCCATAAATAATAAAAGAACAAAAGGTGAATTTCTGTCATGATTAGAAAACTGGAAAAAAAACCAAGAATCAACATGCACAACCTTTAACCACAACAGGTGAAGAAGAAGAAGAAGAAGAAGAAGAAGAAGAAGAAGAAGAAGAATGTGCTTTTCAAGACACTCAAAGACGCTCTACAAAGTAGGTAAGAACACAACAACGAAACAAATAAACTATAATGGGAAACGGCACAGAGACAAAGAATGATGAGCTGTTGGCAGCGTTGGAAAGATTTACTGGAAAACAAACCACATAAAACCAGGATTGTCTACAGACTACACAGGATTTACTCGGTTTTGTTTTTAGCTCTACTTGGTGCAAACTGCTGATTTCTAAAGTTTAACTCAACGAAACGTATAAAATAAAGTGATTTTGACCAAACATCCCAACTTTAAGCTTCGAATTTTGGTGATTTTTTAGGACGAAACCAAAAGTCGTACGAAATTAATTAATCTGACAAGTTTTTTCTGTTTTGTAGATTTTCTAAAGACGACGCATCTTTGAAACCTGCCGGCGGGTTTTTTTGGGTTCAGATGTTAAACTGTAGACGCTGCAAACATGATCGACCAAAGCGACCGAGCTAAACGTAGAGGAACATGATCCAAAACACCCAGAACAACGTGGACTTTCCTGAGTTGACACACAAGCCTTCCAGTGTGCACCAGGTCTGTTCAGTCCTTCAAGATGAACTCGTGGTTCATCCTGCTGCAGGTTTGGATTTAAGACAGCAGAGCAGAGAATTAAACTGGTTCTGCATCCAATTGGAGGTTTGTTTTAAGAAGGCAAGTGGTTCAGGTGACAGTAAACAGAGCAAAGCAGCCAATCAGGAGGCGCTGGACGTCAGACAACAAGACGAGCAAAGTGGCAAAACCAAACAAACCCTGATGGAGCTCGATAACCTGAACCCGTCTCCACGTGTCGGTAAACATCCTCCTCCTCTCACAGCAAATCTGAATCAGAAAACAGCCCGCGGACATCATCAGCGCTGATCTTCCCTCAGACGGATGAAGTCCTGCTGCAGCCGCTTCACAGGCCGAAGGAAAACCAAACCGATTCCACAGAGTTCAACACTAAGATCAGAGCGAGAAGGAACAGAACCGGCTCTCTGAAGACGAGCACCTTGGTTCTCTGATAATCATCAGCGTCAAACAGGATTCAGAAATCTATCGACAACAAATACACAACATTAAACTGCTCATTTTGCCTTTTTTAATTAAACGAACTGATGACGTCCGTCCAGCTTAAGAGTTCGTCAGCGCCGCCTCAACTGGCTGCAACCAACAAAATTAAATTAAATTTACAGAATGAGTGAATCAAAACACTCTCACGTCAATGAACAAACACTGAACTAAACATCCATGAAGGTGCCGAGTTAAATAAACACACCTGAACACATGAGCCGACGTGTGGAGGAGGTTTGACCGTGAAGCTCGTTATTTCTCAAACCTTCATGAAGTAAAATCACGTCCAAAACAAACACAAGAACCGTCTGAAGTCACCTCCAGGTCCTGCTTCTGGAGCTTCCAGCCTCGACCCGGCGGGTAGAACGACTCGTAAAACGAATCCAACGGGAGTCGGCTGATTATTTAATTTCCTTAATTGCATTTTTGCGAACTCGACCGGTGACATCACGGCGGCGGATAATTAGAAACCAACGCCCCCGCTGGGATCCATAAAGGTTTTATGGTCCGACTCGCCGCGCCAACGGCCTTGGAGTCGTGTTTGGTGAATACCTTGTTGAAGACCCAGATCTCGCCGTTGACGGTGGGCCGCGGCACGCCGTGGCCGTTGTAGTGGAAGAGGACTCGCTCCTCTTTGGCGTTGCGTCTCAGCGACGTGCAGAGCTTCTTCACCTCGTCCACCGTGGGGTCCAGGCTCTGCTTGTAGCGCGCCTGAAACCAGGAAGAGACAAACAGGAAGACGTCAGCGTGGCGGTTAAACAGACAACACCGGTGATCAGAGGAGTTTATAGACATCACAGACGTCTGGTTTGTGAAACTGGTCTCGCTTATTGTTAAAACAAACGACACCATTTATCAGAACCAGGACCTGTAACAATGGAAGGAATGAAGATGTTTTTCAGACAGTCCGTCAAGAAAATGGACCGATTCATCCAAACCGCTTCACTGCATCGACTGAAATTTGTACAAACTGGATTCTGTAAAAAAGAATAAAAAATCTGCACTCATGTTGTAACCAGAAAGTCAAAACTACCAAACTTTAGGGACCTTTGGGTTGAACTGCAGGTTGTGTCAACATAAAGCAGAGAGAAGTTCAGAAACAAATCAAAACCCGTAAGTAGAAATTATCAGGTATGTTATCCCGTTTATCAGAACCACAAACTGTAGAATCAAAGAGATTTCTCCGACAGTCCGTCACGAAAATGAACCAAATCTAAAATTAAATCATGATATTCCATCAAAATCTCTTCATTGCTGACTGACTTGACGAAGATTCGTTTAAAATTATTATATAAAATTACAGAAAACATTTGCACCATTTATCAGAACCAGAAACAGTAAAAACGGAATCCAGAGATTTTTCCGACAGTCCATCAAGAAAATGAACCAAATAAAATATTTCATCCAAATAATTTTATTCCACGTCTCTTTTTAAAAATAACCCAAAAATAAACCGTTCGCTGAAACCAGATTCTGTAAAAGACAAAAAATTCTGAGTTCCATGTTGAAATCAAAAAGTCTTTGCTGACTCGGCCGTGATAAACGGTCACGTGACAAAAATTCTGGCACTTTTCAACTGAACTGTGTTTCCATAGAGCACGTAGAAGACAGTAGCGGAGGTAAGTTAAGGACGTAAACCGTCTAAAATGATGTACAGTGTGTTGAGCCTCAGTTTCTTTCAGTTTGGCATCATCTGTGGAAAAAATGTCTGCAGGACTTAATACTGCAGTGAAAAATGAAAAATATTGATCTGCTGGTAGCTGATTTGTCACCAAGGACAAACTCAGAACTCGCTTCTTTTTGGTTTATTCTGGGTTTGAGTGAAATCACTGCAATGTGAATTTTACACCACGAAAAACAAGCAGACGACTAAAACACACGACACATTATCACAGTCATCACGTCATACATGTGCAGACTGTAGGTTAAAGGATGCAACACCTGCCGGTATCACTGAGGTTTGGACGTCGGCTGGAGGCCACGGCGGCGGTTTGGTTTGCTTTACGTGTTTCAGGCGTCGCAGGGCTTTCAATGTGAGACTTACTGAGTCGTATTGATCCAACACTTGTCTGTTTATTCTGAGTTTCTGTGGTCGACAACCAGCGAAAAGGCGTAAAAAAAAACAACTTCCTTCAAGGATACGGAAACACGACGTCCAGACGCCAACACAGCCAATCAGATTCACCGTCCTCTTTGTCATTTACACGTTTTCACAGAGACGCACAAAAGAAGGTTCTTGACTCGTCGAGCTGAACCCGAGAAGCAAAGAGGATGTTTTCAATTCAAGGTAAGCGAACGGAGAGAAACCGTTTCAGAGCCGCCGCTTCAAACCGAAACCAACCCGCAGACAAGACGAGGAGCAAAACCTTCACTTTGCTCTGGGAAGAAATAAACGCATCAACCTGAAGTTAACTTCAGGCTGCTGGGATTCTTTTTATTTTGGCGTTTCTGCAGCCTCCCGTATCGTCTGCATACGTAGAAACATAACGGATGTTTCTGCAGGTTTCAACACCTGACGTCCTTTTGTCTTCACACAATTTAAATTACAGTTTCCTCCATGAATGTACGAGATTAACATCATTGTTTGTGGAGCACGTAACTCTATTGCACTCTATATTAACTCTATTATTCACTACAACTCACTCTGCAGCGCATGCAGCAGAGCAGACAGCGGTGCGGAGTCGAGCCGTGGCGACCTGTAAACTGGTTGGTGCAATAATTTGGCTTTAACGTCTCAACGCTACTCAGAAAACCGTGTTTATATGAAGAACATTGGGCCAAACATCCAAACCCACCAACAATCGATCCGTCCTGAGCGGTTCTTGAATTCAGAGCCTTGACATTTTCCTACGCCGGAGGAGAACAATGTCCTCGGTTTGGAAATATCAGCCCAAAAATAAGGATCTGAATCAGAAAAGCAAAGTGACTAACCGGCTGGCAGATCGCATCGAGGCATTTCGTTTGCAGCCGTCCAACATCATATTGACTCAGACAAAGACGTCGTTTCTTCACGAGGTGCCAAAACTTCTCATGAACACTTTCACGTGTTCGAAAGGAAAGAATAAAAACTGTAGAGAAGCTTTAAAAAACCGTAGAGTAGAAAGCTGAAGTTTAAACAAGCTGCTGATAAGAAGACGGGAGAATAAAGCAGCAGAAACTTCACGTGGACGACAAGTCTGAGGAGTTTCTCCACCACCTGGTGCCGACTTCAGATCGAACTTCAATCTTTTGTAAAGTCGGCCGGAGAAAGTTTCATTTGCATTGTTTGCTGCACTTCGTTAAATAAAGTGTTTGTGTGGATGGAAGGGACGCCGAGGTGTCAACGAGTTACGCAACAGAAGAAGAAGAAGAGGAAAAAAAAGCAAAGCAAAGCTCCCGTTTCGCCCAGTCTGAATCATGATCACACTCACCGAGGCCCTTCTGTTGCATAAGCAGCAGGCCTTCTACCAAACAGCCTGCTGCCTCCTGTCAAATGGCTTCCAATCACACCAGCAGCCATATTTCAACTTTAACTTCTCGCAAGCAAAAAAATAGAACTTCCAGCGAATTAAACTGACAAAAACCCACAAAACAGGAGATTAAATAGAAAAAAAAGTTCCTCCTTACGACTAAAATATCTCGTTCTAATGACGTCACGTCAACAAAGATGCAGGCAGAGTCTTTATTTCTGATTTGTTTAAACAATGCTTCTTTTCCTTTTACTAAATTTGTCTGTTTTCTTGTTTGACTTCCGCCTGAAACTGCAAAATCCATCCAGAGCAGGGATTCAACCTTCTGGTTTTAAACGCATGTTGTCTTTAAAAACTTTAAATTAGGCAAATTTAACTTTAAATTAAAGCATTTTTAGAGTTAAAAACTGTAAAACAGGAAAGAACTGGAACTGTTTCAGCCTCCCGACGCTCCTTCAGCTCGTAAACCTAAATATTAAAAAATGCTAAAAAAAACAAAAATAAAAAAAAACGATTTATAATTATCAAATTCTGTTAAAAACAAAAAATTCTGCCGTTCTCAGAGCAACCGAAAAGCCATCAGCGACCAAACTGGGCCCAGCGGTTCTGTTTAAAAAATTCTACGAGGTTTTGGTTGAGCTGCCGGCTGTTTGCACGAAGCACATTCTGCTTTTTAAATGACTTTTTATGAATAAAACTGCTTCGTGTCGCATAAAAGACACGATTAAAGTCTCTGTGCTTCTAGTCCTGATTGTTCTGTTTCCATCGAGGTGCTGGACTTCTGGAGTCTACAGACTGAAACAGGATGAGTCGGGTTTCTGTGTGATTCAGTCTAAAGCTTCATGTTTAAGTGAATCCGGTGATTCGTAACGTTAATCTTACGTTCCTACTTTTTGTATTGGACTAATGAATGCTGGGATTTTGTCAAAGTTGTTGAAAGACGCGGAGCTAAACCGACTTCACCAAAAAGTCTGCAGTGAAACCACGACGACGACGAAGTTTTAAAACTCTGCAGGAAATACTTCACTCTGACAAAACGGTTTTTCTCATTTAACTTTAGTACAAAAACAAAAAGCACAAACTAAATGACTGGTAGCAGCTTTCAGTGAGCAAACGAACGCTTCGCCTTCATTAGCGACTCGTCTCGATTAGCCTGCCGCAGCTCTTTTATTATTCATTTGACTGTATATCCAAGTGAATTTGCAAAACTTACACCAAAATAAAAACCTCCTAAAGCGAAATCCTGAACCTCCATGGAAACAGAACGACCACGACTAGATGGAGAGGGAACGCAGACACAACGAGAACGGCACAAATCAAAGAAACAGAACAAACAAAAGCTGAAGTTCTTTGGAAACCCCAGAAAGAGTCCACGTCCTGAAGCCTTCTTGTTGTTGTTTGTTTGTTTGTTTGGAGAAATGTTGTAAATGTTGATTCGTTTTTTTGTTTGTTTGTTGTTTTTTACATTTAATAAAATAATAAAAAGTTAATAATCAAAGACAGTCGACCGTCCTTCTGGTTTTTGTTGTTGTTCGGAAAACTCTTGTAAATGTTGATTCAATTTTTTTTTTTTTGTAAAATAATAAAGACCAAATAATCCTGCATCCTTCTTTCTTTTTTATGATTTATTTCATTACAACTGTCATGAACTCTTTTTTCCTCAGTGTTTATAAAAACTTGTGGAAACTTGGAAAAATGTTCATCAAAAAAGTCAAACGTCTGTTTTTTTGTTTTTAGAAAAAAATGTTGTAAATGTTGATCCCAGTTTTGTTTGTTTTTTGCCTCTTAAGTAAATAATCCTTCATGTTTTGTCTGTTTCGTTGTTTTTGTGGCGTCACACTGCAGAGTTTGAGCCTCAGTGAGCAGAACTGAAGTCCAGACGGCTCATCAGCAGATAAAACACAACTTTAGATTCCCACTGGGCTAAACGAACCGTCCGGACCTGAAGGGGGCGCCGCAGCCTCCCGAACAAACTGCATCCGCCGCAGAACTCCTCGTTACATCCATCAAGGCGGGATGAAGCCGACTGGTTGTGAAGGAGCGTCGCGTGTCGCCGGCGCCGCCATTCATCACCGTGTCACATCCGGAGAGCGGCCGACCTTTTCAAAGCGGCGCCGGCGTTCAGGATGCAATTAAACGGCGAGTGTCGGCCGTCGCAGCGAGCAGGAGGCTTTTTAGACGACGAAGAAAAAGGCGAGCGGCGAGGTGAAACAACAGGCTGCTGGTGGGGCGGCTCGGCGGGGAACAGAACCCACGCTGCCG